ATTGATTGAGAACAAAGACCTTAACAACCATATATGACAACCGATGAGATTAAAGAGGGAAGATGGGTTAGTTGGAGTTTGAGAATGCCTATTGTATTGCATACTCCTTTCTCATCTCCCTTAGATCTGCCAACTCCAATCGCCTCTTCACGTATCCTTCACTTTTTCTGGCCAGTTTGCCTATTTACATCTCCCGCAAATCTGCCAACTCCAGTACGCTTCCCCTTCGAGGTCTAAGTCTCCACTGTAAATTCTCCCAATCAATTCACTGATCGCGACTTGGGCAAGCAGGGGAGTCACGTTGCTAGCAGCATGTTAATCAAAGTCAGAAGATGGGGATTTTAATTTCAAACTACAAAATATGTTAGGATGCGTTGAAATGGACGAAAGGGAGGGGTGAAATCGGAGCGTACCAGTCACCATCGCGCTTGGAAAATGTCAGTCTAGAGGAAGGAAATACAGGGGAGTCACAATTGCTGGCGCCATGTTGATCAAAGCCTGAGGATGGGGATTTTAATTTCAGCCTACAAAACAGGTTAAAGATGCGTGGGAATGAACAGAAAGGATGGGTGAAATTGGAGCATACCAATCGACTGGGTATCGGTGCATGGAAGATGGCAATTGCAGTATTCAAAGTTTTTCGTTGCAGACACTGGTGGGGATGGAAATTTAGTAAGAAGGAACCGCCGGGTGTGAATAGTGAGAATGAAGGGGGCGGCGGTGATGAGAGATGAATATCAGATCGATTTGGGAAGAAGTAACCGCTGGGTGTGGCGTTGATGAGATGAAGCGGAATCAAAGGATTGAAAAGAGGAGAGATCGTAGAGAGGGATGGAGAGAGAATGTAGACAGCTTTTTATGGGCCGACGTGGACATGCTAACCTTTGAGAGAGGCTTACGTGGAAGAGGTCAAAAAATCAAAGCCCTTTAATATTTTTTTTCTTCGCAAAGTCAGTTGTTATAAATTCAGTCATACAGAGAAAATAAAAAGAGTGTGGGAGTCGACCAATATTCGAACTCTCGATGAGAGTGCATTTTATGCCACATGATGGGCAACCCTATTGAGTCGGCGGAGAACAAAATAGTAAGAAACCCAACTAAAGAGAAAAGCCAAGCTCTGAGCATCCTACAAGATAGTTCCATCCCGATCATGAGCCAAGTCACCTGTCTGAGGAAGTCTCTCCGACATCGGGAGCTCTTCTGCGTGCCCCTACAAAAAAAAAAAAAAACAAACACACAAGCGTCCCCACTGTAGGACAACTAAGCTCCACCAAATGGACTTAAACAAGCCATTAAGGCTTAGTCGGATACTCCGAATCCAAAACTATGTCAAAATAATATATTTTTTTAAGTATAGTTAAAGAAAAGCAATAAAATAAAACAAACGAAATTGAAGGAACCATCATAATCAATTTTAGGAAAATGAGCGGAAACTTTTGAACTAGCAAAAGGCAGATTTTTCGAATAATTAAAGGGCATTAAAAGGATTGGGAAATTTAACAACTGTACTGAGAATCTAATAACTTCCTAGAAACTAAACCATCAAATCTAATCAAATACCAAATTAAGAAACCACGAAAACCTTTCAACTACCCTAAACTAAGAAAATACTAAACGACAAAAAAGTAAATACTATTATAAAAAAAAAACTAAGTAAATGTTAAATTAATAAAAAAAACAACAGTAACGTAAATCTTTTAACTTCCCTGAACCAATACACCGCCGAGCCGCCGTCGGTGACTCCGAAGTCTAACCAAGCCTGCGACTTGTCACCGGCGACGACCATGTACGAGCTCTTGTTCTGGTCGCCGACGAGATGTCACGCTTGGACACGAAATCTTCCGCCATAGACATGTATTTACGATGGCCCCAACGTCACGGCCGGTCAGAAACTCCAATCGGGGAGAGAAATAAGTGTAGAAATGCATCTCGTCTCCACCATCAATGGAACCGGTTCCGTCCACAAGAACGTCTTGTATGGCAGACCACTCGTCTCCCTCTTCACCCTTCACGGAACCACCACCAAACTCTTCTGTGGCATCGCCGCCACCGTCAGTAAACCGCCACTCGTCTCCCTCTTATTTCTTTTTTCTTTTTCACACCAACTCTGAGGCATGATTGAACAATGTGTAAATGAACAACCACCCTTTTCAAAGGAGAAATTTTACAATGCTATATAGCATTGGTGCTATAGGTTTTTGCCTTTATGCTATAACTTCAAGTTGTACCTTTAACGTTATGGTATAACTTCAGTTTGTACCTATACTATTTTACAAATTCTTTTATGGTACAACTTGAAATTGTACCTTTATGTGATGGTACAACTTAAAGTTGTGAAGTTGTACCATAACATAAGAGTACAAATTCCTTTATGGTATAACCCAAACTTATACATTTTACGTTATGGTACAACTTTAAGTTGTATATTAAAACACCTATGCTTTATAGCATATTAGAAGCTGAATTTCTATTTAACGCCCTAAGTTTTTGAATTTGTCGCCCTAAACCATACCAATCTGACCCTTTTACCCCTAACCTTCATTTATAACAAAATAAAAAAAGCCCTAAATGTAACCCGCCGTCAGCCAGCCGCCTCCCAAACTTGCGCTCCGCCCACCTACCGGTCACCGTCCACCCCCAAACCGACGCCCGTTGCCGTCTCCCACCTCAACTTGATCGCCGCCAAACCCAACTGCCAACCTTTTGTCGAGCTCGAGGAAGAAGACGGAAACTCTTCCCCTTTGAGAAGGACGGAAGAAGAACGCCGGAAGCCTCCCGCCTGGCATTTTTTTTTGGTTCAGTGTTCACTCGCCGGATTTCCACCGCGGTTGGGATGGGATTACAACATGTCCCTCACCTTCAGAGACGGGTTTTCAACCTTCCGGCGCAGGCAGGGAGCCCGTCCGCTGACAGGTTTGAGCCGCCTCCCACTTCTTGCGCAGGTATCCAACTCCGTTCGAAGAATTCCCACGCGCTAGAATCCCATATCAGCTCAATCTTTTGTCCAGTTTCTTCCTTCTTCCAAGTTCTCTAGTCATCCCTCGAGTAGTCGAGTTGTATAAAAGCAGCACAGAGGTTTCAATAGAACTCTTCTGCACAAAGCTGGGAACTTTCTCACCTTCTTCCCCTGAACCCCGGCCGCTGCCCGCTGCTGCAAAAGAGCTCCGCCCTCCAAAGCCAGACAGTAGCTTCTGCTAGCGCAGCAGTAATCACCTGCGACCGCAGCCATCGTCGCCGAGTCGCTGTCATCCGCTTTTTTCTGGTGATTGGATTTGGAAAGCGCTTTAACATCTTATCACTGAGAAGCTTATAGTTGCAGTTCTATACTCCGCCGTCCCGAGCTTCCCCAGTAATTTATTTTTTTCCCCTTCATCCTTCCGCTCATTCTCCCATCGATTATCGGCGCAGTAACGAAAGAAACAATATGTAACAGTAGATCTCCAAATTCGTGATGAGATATGATATCCGGTAGAGAGATAACTCCCGGTGTGGTCGGATTAAGTTCAGAGAAAGCCCAGAAAGGACAGGGGAGGGGCGGCGATAATTTTTAGGAATTAACTTTAATTGAGGCTAGGGTTAGCATAGTCATTTTGGTGTAGTTTAGGGCGATTTTTTTGAATTGTTAGGGCGATAAATAGTACCTAAGTACTCCTTTGAAAAGGGGCTAAGATCAGGTGACTAAGGGGGGGTCTCTTAGTCATGTGACTAAGTGAATCTCAGCCCTTCCACCTCATTAAAATCCAACGGTTCTGATTAATCCAATTTAATGAAGGACAATGTAGTAATTTAATTATTTAATTTCTATTTACCAATTAAAATAAATAAAAATTCAGCCCGATCCTTCCCTTCTCCGCGCGCGGCCTGCGTTTGTTTTCCCCACAGATTTCCGATCTCGCCGGCCGCGTGTAATTCGCCGGCGCCCCACCATTTTGACGGTCGCACTTCCCCTTTGGAGAATTAGATGTAATTCCCCTTTGAGAAGCAAATGTCCCACGAGAGAGAGAGAGAGAGAGAGAGAGAGAGAGAGAGAGAGAGAGAGAGAGAGAGAGAGAGAGAGAGAGAGAGAGAGAGAGAGAGAGAGAGAGAGAGAGAGAGAGAGAGAGAGAGAGAGAGAGAGAGAGAGAGAGAGAGAGAGAGAGAGAGAGAGAGAGAGAGAGAGATTTTCTCGTCGGCAAATTTTCGCCGGAGAAAAATTTTCCGGCGACAGTGCTAATTTTGTGATGTTTGTTGACATATTTTGTAATGTTTGTATGCTTTGTTATTTTGTAATGTTTGTCGGCTTTTTTTTGTAATGTTTGTAAACTTTGTTATTTTTGTGCACCATGTTTGTAAACTTTGTCATTTTTGTGCACCATGTTCGTAATGTTTTTTATGTCTAAAAAACACCCGGGTTGACTTTGGAAATGAGCCCCTCTATATAGGGATGGAGCCTCCAAAGTCAACCCGGGTGTTTTTTCCCGCTCGTATGGATTGTCGGTCTAGTTTGTCATTTTTGTCCACCATGTTCGTACTGTTTGTATGTCTAAAAATCACCCGGGTTGACTTTGGGAAGGAGCCCCTCTATATAGGGATGGAGCCTCGAAAGTCAACCCGGTTGTTTTTTCTTTTTGTATGGTTTGTATTGTTTGTCGGTCTAGTTTGTATTGTTTGTACAGTTCATACGTTTGTAATGTTTGTAAATCTGTTTGTATCTTTTGTCGCTCTAGTTTGTACTGTTCGTATGTTTGTATGGTTTGTACTGATTGTAAATCCGGTTTGTATACTTCGTAATTTTTCATAATACCCAAACTACCCCTGTCATTAATTAAATAGTCCTTCCTACTTTTTAACCATTGGATTGAAGTGTCCAGATCTAAGGGCTGGGAGGGGCTTAGTCAAGTGACTAAGCACCCCCCTTAGTCACTGGATCCGCTCTCTTTGAAAAGCCCTTTAATATTTTAATAGATAGATAGAAAGGCGGGAACGCAACAGTCGTGCGCGTGTTGCGTCACTGACTCACTGTCCACTTTCTTTGCATTCATAGTTCTAGTTTCGCGGCTATTGCTCGTTCGGGTTCATTTCATTAGGGTTTAGGCAAGCGGAAAAATAAGGAGAGCAGAGTGTGGACTCTGAAACAGTTTTCCAAATGGAGAGTTTGCTCAAGGTCAGGATTTCGTATTCTGGTGCTCTTTTACCCTTTCCTTTACTCGGATTGCTATTCTTTTCTCGCACGACATCGTAGTTCGGGCGGAGGGGAATTCTGATTCGGCAACCGGAAACACTTTCTTATTGCCTGGTGTTTCGTCTTGCAGAAATATTTTGGGTATTCTGAGTTCCGGCCGTATCAGAAGGAGGTCATAAACAATATTCTGCAGAAGAGGGATTGCTTGGCGGTAATGGCCACGGGTAGCGGAAAGTCCTTGTGGTAAGCCGGTGTTTTTTTTTCTTTCTTCATGTTTCCTCTTTTATTGCTTTCCCGTCTGAGTTTGAATAGTTCACCACATCCGCAGTTACCAGCTTCCTCCGTTGCTGGTTGATAAGACTGCCATTGTTGTAAGCCCTCTTATATCTCTCATGCAAGATCAGGTAATTGCTCTCTCTTTATATGTCCGTACTCCGCCTTTTCCGCTTTATATTTTATACCTTTGGCTTAGCCCTTTTACTTGGGCCTTCTTCCTGATGTTCCATAGTCAATTGCAGGTAATGAGTTTGAAACAGCAGGGTATCAGAGCTGAGTACCTTGGAAGTGCCCAGACCGACCAATCTGTGAATGCTCGAGCACAAAAGGGGGAATATCGTTTGCTGTTCATGACCCCTGAAAGGGCTTGCTCCATTTCTCACAGGTATTGTATAGCTCCAATGTGTCGAGCCTCTTATGTTATCATCTCTCTTTTCCTGTACTGCAGTCAATTGAGCTTTGCACCCACACATGTATCTTTTGCTCCTCTATCTTTTCTTCATTGTTGAGAAGACAACCTCGTTAACATCTTGGCAATTTCATATAAATTTGATGGTAGATGTATATTTCACTTATCTTGCAACCTACAAAAGTCTTCATCCCATTAGCTTGTCTAGTTGATGTGGAGTAGCACAATTGCCTGCTCTTCTACCTTTCTCACATGGTTTTACTGATGAAGATTTTGATGATCTGCTTTATTCGCCTTTTAGTTTTGACATCTAATATATGAGCTTTAGTGATTAGTGCCTACTCTTATTGCTCTTCTTATTGTCCATGTCATGTAGCTTCTGGTCGAAGTTACTACAGGCAGGAATTTGTCTCTTTGCTGTGGACGAAGCACATTGCATATCAGAATGGGGGCATGACTTCAGGTAATTTCTTTTTGTTTATTTTATATAGATGACTTCAGGTAAATTACACCCGGTCAAAATCTTTCTTGTAGTATTCACTAAAAGCCATAATCTTAGGGGCAGGTGCATGCTACAATGACCTTAAACAGGAAGACCCATGAATGGGTTTTGCACTTATTCTTTTGGCTCATGCATTAAGCATGTTTTCTGTATGTTCCTTGTTCGTTTTATTTATTTCTAGTTTACTATTCATGACAGTATTCCCTATATATCTAGAATCATTTTTTTTGGTTGAATATATCTAGAATTATTGATGATACAGTGGTGGGATTGGAATGACATAATCTCATATTGGCTCTCAGCTTTTACCATTTGCAAAATAGTGCCCTTTGAATTTGCATGCCTTGATAATTGATGCTGGGCGGTGTTAGAGTTATTGGTTTTGCTATCTTACTTGCATTTTTAAACCGGAACAAGCAGCATTGACGTTCCAGTGAGCACACTAGGAAAATTAATCTGGCTGATGCATTAAGCATATTTTCTGTATGTTCCTTGTTTGTGTTATTTATGGTTCATGTTTGGTAACATTATTTGCTGTTGCGTGTGTTGCTGCTTAGTTTGCATCTTTTGTTGCACTTGTCTTCTTCAGGGTGATAGTCACTGTAGCTGACTTAGTTTTTTTTTTGTGAAAGCTGTCATTTCTAGTTGGCTATTCATGACCATATTCCATCTATATCTTGAATCATTTTTTTTTTTGGGTAAAATATATCTTGAATCATTGATGATACAGTGGTGGTATTTGGAATGGCATAGTGTCATATTGGTTCTCAGCTTTTACCATTTGCAAAATAGTGGCCTTTGAATATGCTTGCCTTGATAATTGATGCCGGGAGGTGTTAGAGTTATTTGTTTGGTGATCTTACTTGCATTTTTAAAACCGAGACAAGCAGCATTGAGGTTCCATTGAGGACACTTGGAAAATAAATCAGGTAAAAATGTTGTCAAGAAGTTAATGTCGGTTTAGGGTCCTGGAACAGAAAATTGACGAGAGAGAAAGAGTTTGAGCAAGTTGATTGATTCTATAAGGGGAAGGAATATGTGCAAACTTTAGCAAGTTCATTTTATGTCTAGCTTTTTTTGTGTGGATATGCTACAATTTTATTGAACATGACCTTTGTTATCTGTGAATCTGTGTCGATTGACTTGATAGGCTGATCTTGGTGGCTGGGATCATTCTCCTGTCTTTTTAAATTCGTAAAATGTCACAAGTTATCTTGGAAGCCTTTTGGCATCCTTCTGAATACCTTATTGTTCATGTGATCTTGTGGAATTTTTTAGATGTTCTTAGAGGATTCTCACTTACCCATTCTTTCTTTAAACGAGGGGCATGATGGGATGTTATTCTAATTCTGCATTTGATAGTGGATTGACTGATTTTTTTCCGTAACATCAGACTTCACTCGTTACATCAGTAAATTGCAGCTCTTGTCTTTCGTTTCTGCTTAACGTGGTTACAATTATGTTTCTTGATGGAACGTGTGTGGGTGTGGGGGGGGGGGGGGGGGGGGGGTTCTATGAAACGATTCCTGGATACTCGTCTTAAAACTATTAAATTATTGTGACCTCTGATACACTTGGGATTCCTGTTGTATATTTGAATAAAAAGAAAAGTTGCCTTTTTCTGTCATAAGTAGCTTGAAATATTTTCATAACTTCCTTGATTCTTGATAACATTAGTTTCTCCTGGTTTCACAGGGTGGAATACAAACAGCTAGACAAGTTACGTGCTATTCTCTTGGACGTTCCATTTATTGGTTTAACTGCAACAGCTACTGAGAAGTATGTATCTCCATTTATTTTTATGCTTTTGTGCATAGGTTATTATCTGATTCCATCTTCTGAAAAATAAATTTAATGAAGTTTGATATTTATCATAATCTACATGAGTTGATCTTCAAACAATTCAAGTTTTCTTTTCAAGGTTCATGAGGCAGCTCAGTCATTTATGTGGAATAACTGATAAGTTCTGAGAATACCTAGGAACTTCTGTAGAATATGACTTTGTCTTTGTGTGTCTAGTCTAAGCACTTAAAACGAGTGTTGCTTTTAAGTTTAATCATATGAAGGTTCTCCGGTAGAAATTTGTTTGCCTGTGCTTACCATTCTACGTCTTTATTTCTGTGACTCAGATCATTCATAAAAAAATCAATACCCAGCCTTTATGTGAGGTTATTTATCAGATGATCCAAGCTTAAGCTTCTATAAAACTGTCTGTTAGCCTGCCCCTTTCCAGCTTGAAGCATGTCATGGAAAATGCTATGTCCAGGAGTGAGATACAATATGAGCCTTCGACATATGGGAAGGTCTTGCTGCCATTAATGTGTCTGCACTTGTTCATCTATGTCAAATATGTTTATCTGAATTATTCTTCATTTGCAAGGATTAGAATCTGGAAATTAAGAACTTTTAGAATCAAAGTATAGAATTGCTCTGTTAGACAACTAAAACCTAGCTTGCTTAACTGGAACCCAGAGGCAAAGCAATATCTTGAAATGATTGAGTGCGTTTCATTTATAACGAACCAACAGTTATTTAGCAGCTGTTACTATATAATGTTTGAAATTCAACTAAATGATACGTCCTAGTTTACAGTAGGGAGAATGCTACTGACTAGTGGGAGCTAGGCATTCTTAAGATCAAAGATCACTAGATGATGGATACCCTGCATTCTAAGACTGAATTGTCTTTCTTGTGGAAAATAAATAGATATACATGACAAATAAGTTCATATGGAAGAGGATGCATTACTGATAGGCACTAGATAGTGATAGGACAACAGTACCTACCTTATTATGTGCTTTGGATTATTTGCGTTGGGAGTATGTTCTTGATAAGTTGTTCTGTTGTTTCCATTTGTCTGAACTCCAGGGTCAGAGGTGATATCATAAATTCCCTCAAGATGGATGACCCTTACATTGCCATTGGCTCATTTGACCGAACGAATCTCTTCTATGCTGTGAAACTTCTCAGCCGGAGTTCTGAGTTCATCGAAAACCTTGTGGATGAATTTTCAAAATCACTTGGAAGATCTGGGCCAACAATCATTTACTGCACAACCATAAAAGATGTTGAGCAGGTTCTTCTACTTGTCTTTGCTTAAAGTTGATTGTCTAAGATGCTTCTTTCTTAGGAAGTCTTACTAACCAACTCCTCAAGTATGACAAGCAACAACCACTGTACCTTTGGAATATCATCTGTCTACTAATTACCAATTCTGTTGGGCATTAGCACAATTCAAAAGGGAATGGACTCAATTTTTCTTGTCCACCATGAACAAAGCATCACCTTCTTGTCATCCTTCCGTGTCTATCATGTACTCAGTTATAGTTCTTTCATGCTCGGTACAATTTCCTAGTACGTGGTTGCTAACATGAGTCTGGGAGGCAAAACAGACTTTATCTTATCATCATCTTCCGCGATGCATGAAATGCTCTTCTCTCTTTGATGTGCCACAGAGCCACATAGTTTCAGGTTCAGACACAACGTGACCTGCTGTTTCTTTTGCTAGTCTCAAGTGAAGTGACTTGGATACCCAAGTGAAATGGACTGACAGTTGTCGTTTTCTCCTTATGTCTGGGATTGGTGGTTGAAAAATATTTCCATTACAGTTTGTAGCTCATGGTGAATGCATTTTTTCCTTGCAAATGCAACCATGTTAACCACTCCAAGGAGAGAGGGGTGTGCCTCCACCTCCATCTTTACTTTTGTTTCATTCAGCAGTAGTCTTGCAGTTTTGATACTGTAAATAACTCTGGTTCTAGTTTTTTCTCTTTGCGTTTTATTCATTCCAGGTGTTTAAAGTATTTCAAGATGCAGGGATTAAGTCTGGAATGTATCATGGCCAAATGACCAACAAAGCTAAACAGGAGTCTCACAGGTTTTCTATACAACTATATCTGCACTTTCATTCATCCATTGTGATCAATAGATTAAGTACCCTTGTTGCTTATGACAGAATTATCTGTACTATGCTTAGCTAAGTGATTTACTTTCTCCAGATCTTTTATAAGAGATGAGTTACAAGTCATGGTTGCTACTATTGCTTTTGGAATGGGTATTGACAAGCCAAATGTAAGGCAAGTGATTCATTATGGCTGTCCAAAAAGTCTCGAGACATATTACCAGGAAAGTGGTCGATGTGGTAGAGATGGTATAGCCTCCGTCTGTTGGCTTTACTATACCAGAAGCGACTTTGCAAAAGCTGAGTTTTACTGTGGTGAAACTAAATCAGTACGTATATTTTATGCTTCCCATGAAGAGCCAAGTTATTTTTATTCGGTTGATTAGGTTATGCCAGTTTCTGACTACCGACAAGTTCTGCCTTAGCATTTATATGTTTCATCTTTATTCTTCACTTGTTGACTTAAACTTTGTTGTGAGAGATCCATTTTCAATATTATAGATCAATTGACTGCTGAAAATCTTTATCAGGAGAACCAAAGAAGAGCTGTGGTGGAGTCATTGATGGCTGCTCAGCGCTATTGCACAATTACTACTTGCAGAAGAAAGTTTTTGTTGGATTACTTTGGAGAAACTTCTTCAACCACCAATTGTGGTTCGGCCTCTCTTTAGAAGTATTCTCTTTGTTAGATATATTATTCGACATTAAAGTATAGAACTTATGAGAGTTTGGTAGTAGATATAGGGTATCAACACGCCACTTGAAGTTGGCACCAGAAACTGTTAGTCTTTGTCTTGATGCAGAAATAGATTATCTATAATAAGAAAAAGAAAAAGAAATCAGGCCTGTTTTTACTCGAATAACTGCCTCAGTACAACCTGTCTTGACTGATTTGACTTATTCGAGATTAACTGAAGTCAAATTGAGTCTGATTCAAGTAATTTAACTGGAATGAGTTGGAATTGTATGAGCTCCAACTCTATCCAAATTTCAACCTTGCAAATGTCCAGCCATATCTTTAATAAGTTGAATGTACTAATTGGCTTTACTTGGACCAAAAATCATCTTAATTGAATAAAGTGCAGTTCTTGTGAATCACTGCTAAAGTTTCTCAATCCAACTTGAGGTTCAAAGTCTGTTCTCTGTCATAAGACCGCTAAGATTCTTTGGTTGCAAATATGTTGTTGGGGAATTAAGGTTTCTGAACAAAGTTTCTGAACAATTTTTGCAGGAAATTGTGATAATTGCTTGGGTTCAAAAAAGGAACATGATGTGTCTAGAGAAGCTTTCCTTTTGATGGCCTGCATTCTATCATGTAAGGGCAGCTGGGGTCTCAATATGCCTACAGACATTCTACGTGGTTCCCGCGTGAGTTCTTATACGGAGATAATAGCTCATCTTGTAGACATTTTCTTTGTCTTTAATACATGTCTTGCTTCCTTACTAGTCCCTTCTCAGGAGGGAAACAGAAGAAAGAAAAGGATAATGTCCCTTCTGCCCACAACAGAAAGGAACTTATATTGATCATGCTACGTTTTATACCCTTGAAAAAGCTGGTTTCAATGCCTTTTTTGTCACTTTTGGCCAAGGCCCTTGCTGTCAATTTTGAATCGCATACTTGGGCATAATTCTTGTGATGCCAAACTTTATATCTAACTTGAGTTTTATTAGCCTCTTGTTCAATCTTTGATATCTTGCATCTATATGGCTTCTAATGCTTTAACTGCTTCGATCTTTTTAGGCTTGTAATTTATTCTTGTAATGGTCACTTGTTACAGGCAAAGAAAATTATGGACAACCAATTTCATAAGCTTCCACTTCATGGACTAGGGAAAGACCATTCAGCAAATTGGTGGAAATCTTTGGCTTATCAGTTGATTTCTCATGGTAATAATACTTTTTGTTTTACCTGATTGAACTGATGTGCTAGTGTTCAGATATGACATACTCACCGTGTGCAAGCATGTAAACATGGATAAACATATATCTGTAGATAGTAGTTGAAGAATTTGTTTCTCCTACAAATATTAGGTGACTTTTATATAACGGGCAGTTAAATACTTAGTCTACATGTATTTCATGTCAATAGTCTACTGTAAATCTGTAATACCTACCATTTCTATATGTGGTTCAGATTATATTAATGGTAAAACTCTCAAATGGCTTTGTCAAGCTTGTTCAAGAACTATCAATGGTGAATTGGTGATGCATTCTTTTGTGCTCATATGCCAGCCTGTAGGATATGCACATCTGTCTTATTTGTCAATGGCAACATTGGCAAATTTAAGAAAATTAAATTGTTGAAGGTCTTCCAATCAACTAGTCCTTTTCATGCACAGCATCTTTGAGGCTTAGACCCCACATGGTTGCCAGGGAATTCAGTGATCAGCTGGTACAAATTACTAGTCTCCAATCTACTTAATAATCCTGACTGACGATTAGTTGGGCACTCTTGGAAACATATAGTTCAATTAATTTTATCTAATTCCCTATTGCATAAGATTTGTAGTTATCTAAAATTTATTCCACGAGGGATGGTACTTGTCATGTCAGAAATTTGTTGTGTTTAGCCTAACTTTTTATTTATGTGGTTAGTAGTTCAGTTCAAGCCAGTGATCTCGTATCTGAATAATTCTGTGTCACTAATCAGTAATTCTCTTATCAAACTTCACAATGTAGGTTACCTGACTGAGATCGTTACAGATATATATAGAACTATCAGGTATAATATATGATTTGCTTCTTAATTTAAAATTTTTTGAAGTCTTTATAGTAACTCATTTTGTATGTTCTTTCTCATCCTGTTCCTCACTCTCAGTCGTTCCCTAAAATGCTTCTGTCACCTGCAATCAGAATTATTTTAAATGTCAGCTTTGAGCTGACTAAGCATGTTATGTATACGTTAGAAACTTATATAAACTCTTTCTATTTGTGCATCAGTGTTAGTACAAAAGGGAAGCAATATATTAGTTCTGCCAGACTTGACCATCACCCACCACTGCTTCTACCATTGACAAGTGAAATGATAAACGGTGAGGAAGATCCAACCATTACTGGTGGAGATTTGAATGGTCTGGCAACCTCGGAACATGAGGGATTTTCAGAGGTTGGTAAATTGTTCCTTTTTGCTGTCTAGTTGGATTTTTGTTTTTGTCGACCATCTGTCATAATGGACTTGAGAGAACAAATAGAACTGAAATGAAAGGTGCAGTCACTTCGATTTTCTGTTTTCAGGATAAATTACTGGATAATTGGAGCATTGATACCTTCAGATTATTCTAATAAACTGTAATAGGTTTCATTAATAGCTCAAAGTTCTGAAGGAGCCGGCATCATCTCAAGAATAAACCAATCAGCTGGCCTTATTTTGTTTTTATTTCCGTGCATACTTGCAAAGTTGATGTACTGAATTTTATTCTACTAGTTCGCCATTCCCAAACTCTTGAGATTTGATTTTCACTTATCTTTAGGCTGAGTCACAACTCTACCATTCACTCTTGGAAGAGAGAACCAACCTCGCTAGAAGAGTTGGAACTGCTCCGTAAGCTTGTCTTTATCTGTTCTTCAGTAACACAAACTCTGAATGAATTGATTCATCTTAAGAGCCTTTTTCATTTTGAGTGTTTCTTATGCAGATATGCTATTTGTGGTGATCAAACAATCAAAAGACTTGCTCTGATAAGGCCGTCCACTAAAGCAAGACTAGCAAATCTGGATGGTGTCAACCAGGTATATCGTGCCGATAGGATTAATGAATTATGCTGTATAAGATGTTCGATGGGTTTCCCCCCTACCCCATCCAATGAATAGTCCTATATCACTAAATAATTTATCCTCGAATCCTTGGTACTAAACGGTTGTTTAATATTTGTGTATTTGGGTGATAATATTGGCACGTAAGTACCTTATTGTAGCTGCTGCGACTTTAGGTTTCTCTATTTAGCTGGCATTGATCAGTTGTCTTAACTTATTTTATCCTTTAACAAAGGGTAACTTTCTAATGTACAGATGCCTACTTTTGCAGCACTTTCTTATGACACATGGAGATCATTTTCTTGAGACCATCAGTCGTCTAGCAAAAGGACTAAACCTTTCTTTAGATGGGGAGGCAAACATACCAGTACCACCTACTGTTAATATCATTAGTAAAGTTGACCTGACAGCCAATTCCCAACGCAAACTAGCACCAGCTAAACTTCAAGCCTGGAAGATGTGGAGTGAAGATGGTCTATCCATTCACCAAATTGCGGTATGTCTTTTTTCGCCAAATGCATGGAAAGATATTCAATGGGAGTGTTGATGATGTGTCCTTTGTAGAGCTTCCCTGGTAGATCTGCTCCCATCAAACCGCAAACTGTTCTTGAATATCTTCTGGAAGCTGCCCAACAAGGATGTAATGTCAATTGGACCAGATTTTCCGAGGAGGTTGGGCTCACGAATGAAATTTTCATGGATATTACTCGTGCCATTTCAAAGGTTGGATCAAGGGACAAGTTGAAGCCCATTAAAGATGCATTACCTGAGGAGGTATTTTCAGTTGGTACATTTATCTTGTAAATGTATGTCTTATGCTGAGGACCCTTCATCAGAAGTTCTAATGCAGTACATTTGATCACTTCGTTGTTTCAGATAAGTTATACCCACATCAAGACTTGTTTAACTATGCAGAATTGTGGGATGTCCTTGGAGATGGCTCCATCTCCCTGCATTGGTACAGCAGCAAATGATGAAGAAGCTCCACGCAAGGTTGATGATGCCAACTCCAAAACAACAGCACTCGAAGTTGGAAACTCATTGGAGGGAGAGATGAGCGTTTCTTGTGGTGATGGGCTGCCCTTGGGGAAACGTCAGAAGGTGGATGGGCCTGAACAGAGTTTAACATCACTGGTGATTGCCACAGAAGATGGCATAGTGGATTGGCTTAAAAATTATGATGATGGGGTGAGTGCAAGCAGGTCCCAGAAATTTCTTGGTGGCTTGAGAATAGCTGTTGTGAGCTTTGGCTCTTTGTTAACACCCTTTCGGTGATGCACATGCGCATTTTATACTCACTAGCAAATCATTGCAGGTTCCTATACACGATATTCTGGAGCATTTCAATGGATCTGGAGAGGAATCTGTGATTGCCATGCTCAACTGCCTCGAAGGTGACTTCGTGATATACAAAAAGAACAATGTGTATAGGATTCTGTAAGCTAAACATACGGCTTCACTGCTGAATTGAATTGTCGGGAGACTTCAATTAACGAACCATATGCAGCTTTTCAACGGCTCTAGCTATGCTACTATACCAAGTTAATGGTTAAATTTTGTTGAAATATGTTAGTGGATGGAAGCTTTAAATGGGTACATATGGAATGTTGTTAAGACTGTTAGCGAAGGTAATTAGGATGATGGATTCATAAAAATAAAAAAGGGTTAATTGCATGGTTAGTCACTGAGATAAAAACGTTCAAGTTTGGTCACTCGAAATATTTAAATTCATTGATGGTACTTCAGTTTATTGAAAATGTTCACGTTTGGTGAGTGACCATCAGAGATTATTGTCAGGTCCGTCCTCCTAGTGACGTGGAGCTGAAGTTGTCGAAAAAACCATTCATAGCTATCAGCATTCTCTCCCTCTACAATGGCGAAGGCTAAAGGAAAGACTTGTCTATTTGCATCCGCCCCACTGGCAATCAGGAGAGTGCCCTTGTACTTGCCGGTAAGGAATGTACCATCCACAGTAATCACAGGGATACAAAAGCCAAAACCATCAATAGATGGCTTGAATGCCCAAAACAGTCGTCTGAAATGGCGTTCGTTACCTGGCTTTGGGGGTTGTATCTCTTCATCTTGGTATCGAGGGGAGAACACAGTGCCAGGGTTAGACGCCTCCAATGCCAATATTAACCTGGGAAGGAATGCATATGATTCTTCCCAATCACCAAAGACGGCGGCTAGAGCTTTCTGCTTACCATGCCATGCCTTCTTATAGTTAATCATATAACCATAACGACTTGCAATGTCAGCGATTATGACTTTCACATTCAGATCCGGTTCGGCCTCAATCAGATGCTTGATAGCCGCAGCAACCACCCTGGATTTCAGCTGTCGATGGCCTTGGGAAGTTATGGATGACACACATGTGTGTGTGTTCACCGCACGGGATATGACCCAGTGGCCGTGTCTCTTGCTGTTGATGGCTCGAATCCTAACATTGCACCCCTCGTGATGATTACGGCATCTGACTATGAGCCTTTTGGTGTTGGAATGAGTTGTGTGCCATTCAAAATGCCGAGTCATTGCTTCAGTCTCAATGGCGTGCCGCACCTCCTTCTTCGAGCCAAATTGTTGGCCCTTCGTAAACCCAGTGAGTGGGCCCCATATTGGGACCTCTGAGGGCTCCATGTCGCTGTCGACCATCCAATTGTCGTCTGGAATGTGATTGTAGTAGGGGACTGGTACACGGTCAGGAGCCACATCATGATCATTATCTGAATCTGACTCTGATCCTGAATCATCAGCACCTTCAAGAGGGTCGGAGCTGTCTGCACTGACGTTGTTCTCTCCTTCTTCATCGGAGGGGCCGCTGACTGGTGCTGGCATGAGAGCTTCCATCTGATCCAGTTCATGAAAGGCACCTTCATCAGCTCCATAATGGTAGTTGTGAAAACTACCGCTGCCTGATTGGAAGTTGTACTGGGGTTGGTTGCCGAGGTCCGGTTGAACTTCTTTTTCATATGACGGAAAAGATTGATGATGGCCTTCACCTTGCTCTTGATACTGAAAATAGGAATGAGGATCATGGTAACTTTGGTAGGGATGATCGCTATATAATTCACCTCCACCATGGATACCAGATGTTTGACCGTGTCTAGAATGACCTCCAACGCCAACGGCTGGCTTGGTGTGTTAGAAACCGATTTCTTTAGGGTTTCTATATTTATGGTTATAATTATTATTAAGATATTTCTTATTATGATTAGTAGTCTTCTAGTAGAATTAGGTTTATTCTTAGGGTTTCGTAGTATTTCCCTATATATATGTACTTTGGGTCATTCGTCGAATTAAGCAGAAGTGAATAAAAGAATTATCTCCTTAATCCCTCTCCCTATCCTCTCAATTCTTGACCTCAATCCCTCTAAAGGCTTAGGCCGATTCTCTTCTATTCTTCCCCAAATTCTCCTCAAATCCCTAAATCCCCAATTCTATTCTATAAACCCTAAATTCCCAATCTCTAGATCTGATCTAGAAACCCGTTAGAAACTTTGTTTCTAACATTTGGTATCAGAGCCCGGTTTCGAGCATTGAGTTTTTCACAACTCTCAACCGGGGACGAGTTCTACAACTGGTTTGACAATGAGCTCTTCAAGGCTCTCGGATCTGTCATGGGCGGAATTGCGGGAACGGGCCCGCCGCATCGGACGTCGTTGGATCCCCGACGAGCTGCCGATCGTGCATGAGGAAGTTATGCCCAAGGAGACTGACGGAGAACTACCTCCGCAGCTGGCTGAGCGCGACGCAACGGCAACGCAGCCGCCGACCGCAGGTGCCGTCGGGACCGACGAGAAGCCCTCTGCGACCAGCGCCGCGACGGACGACGAAGTCGAGGGGACCGAGGAGAGCCGCGGGGTGGAGGAGCAGTTGGAGTGCCCGCTAGCTGTAGCTTCCGCGGGGGCGACGACTGTGAGGACGAGGATGTGGCCTGAAGCAAGCTGGGCTAGTCGCTGCCGGGAGGAGGGCTCGATGCCGGAGGAGTCGCCGCGGGAGGAGTTGGGGGAGAAGCAGCCGACGATTGAGGAGGAAGGCGGCGGCACCTCTTCGCTAACAAGTTCTAGGTCTCCAATGGAGGATTTGGATGGGCCAAAGGCTGAGCCCGTTAGGGTTTTTTGTGGGCCAACTTTCGGGCTGAGAAAGAAAGACTATGAAGGGGTTCAAGAGGCTAATGGGCCTCAAAAGCAGCAAATATTTGAATTTCAATTAAGTTTTCTGGTTGCAGAGCTCATATATGGAGTTGTGCCAAATATGAGAGAAAAGCGGGCCGAACAAGGACTGTGTAGCGGGCCCAACACAAAGCTGGTAGTGAGTTTAAATAACAAACGTGGGCCTTATCCTTTTGAGAACATTGGGCCACCTGGATCCCTTTTATGTGGGGTGGAATTAGAAGACAAAGTGGATGATCGCTATATAATTCACCTCCACCATGGATACCAGATGTTTGACCGTGTCCAGAATGACCTCCAACGCCAACGGCTGGCTCGGTGTGTTAGAAACCGATTTCTTTAGGGTTTCTATATTTATGGTTATAATTATTATTAGGATATTTCTTATTATGGTTAGTAGTCTTCTAGTAGAATTAGGTTTATTCTTAGGGTTTCGTAGTATTTCCCTATATATATGTACTTTGGGTCATTCGTCGAATTAAGCAGAAGTGAATAAAAGAATTATCTCCTTAATCCCTCTCCCTATCCTCTCAATTCTTGACCTCAATCCCTCTAAAGGCTTAGGCCGATTCTCTTCTATTCTTCCCCAAATTCTCCTCAAATCCCTAAATCCCCAATTCTATTCTATAAACCCTAAATTCCCAATCTCTAGATCTGATCTAGAAACCCGTTAGAAACTTTGTTTCTAACACGGTGTAAACGAACATCTCGGCTTTGGCCAATTTGTTGGACCTCAAGAATTCGAGCATGGAATCCACTTCATCTTGAGTGGTTATGGTATATTCCTCATGCCACAATGACCCACTTTCTCTGTTTGGATATCGGTACACCATACGATCTACTCTTCTCGTGCCATCCATGCAAGTAACGTTAGTGCATATTTGATGGAGGTCTTCAAGCTTCGGTCTGGTAGCGACCTTTATTTTCTGAAAATTGCCACCAACGTAGGTGGCACCCTTTCCGGTCTCTTCCGTGTAACCATTCCACCGTAAGCCAAGCGTGAACTGGCGGAATGCCATCTGCACACAAAAAAACCGTAGTTCAGTTAATATCATAAAAATCACAAATCACAAATAACAATAAAAAGTAACACAAAATAAACTTACGAGTTAATGTTAATGGCAAAAACACTAAAGAAATATAGAGATACAACAGAAAAATGAAGAGAGAGATGGAGAGGTGTGAAGAGTAGAGGTTTTCCGGGCAGTCTTATATAGGCAAAAAAATTAGGAAAACCGCACCTCTAAGGTGCGGTTTTGGTCTGCCATGCAGCCCTACGTCTATAATTCTGCATGGATTGTCGGGTGTTGGAAAATAATTGACACACAGACCGCACTTGGGGGGTGCGGTCTGTGTGGCTAAACCGCACCTTAGAGATGCGGTTTGGTTTTGGAGGAATAAAACGCATCTCTAAGGTGCGGTTTGCCTAGGTCAGGCCAAAACCGCACCTCGGCCATGCGGTTTATGTAGGGCAGACCTGAAACCGCATGGTCAAGATGCGGTTTAAGCCCAAGAAAATGGACCGCACCCTACAGGTGCGGTTTATATATAAAACGCACCTGGAGGATACGGTTTATATATAAAACGCACCACAAGGGTGCGGTCCAAAAAAAAGGGTGCTAGTATTGTAAATATTTTTGGAAGGGTGCTAGTTTTGTAAATTTTTTTTAAAGGTGCTATTTCTGGAAAAATCTCGGAATATATCTTCCCTTAAGCAAAGCCTCGCCGCAGAAACGTCATCTCTAGCAAGCTTTTGGAGTCCACCGCAACAACCTTCGATGGCAATCAACTCTCTCGACGCCCTTCCCGCGGCGATGGTGGCAGTTGAGGCCACCCTCACTCTAGCCATCTCTCACCACTTCTCGGAAATCCATTCGATGATTGCGGACCTTGCCAAGTCCACCACCGCCAATTACCACGCCCTTGAGCAGAGGGTTGAAGCACTCGAGCGGCTTCCGGCGACGGCTGCCACAACGAAAGAAGTGCCAATCGTTGGATCACCACCGATGACGGATAAGGAGACGTCAAAGGCTGCCTTCCCGGATGACCCCACTGTGCCGCTAGCCAAAGCTATGACTCCACGGCTTGACGGGCAACCACTTGGTATCGGTTGTCCATTAGTCCATCGTCTCTTGGGGAATCATACCAATCCTGACGTCGACGACAACTCTGGCGACCAAAGAATGCATCAACTCCTATCAGGGGCGGATACATGGGACTTTAGGGTGTCCCGGGACACCCCTAAAATTTAGGAAAACGATTATTCAACACTCGATAGTAATTTTGTATGGATAAGAAAAATATAATTAGTTTTCTCGGATACCATTGAAATTTGAAAAAACGATTATCATATTCATGTAGTTTGCATATGATTAAAAAACATAAGTGGTAGTCT